CTCCCCTCGCGGCCGGGGGGAGGGCGCCGGGGGGGAGGGCAGCCAGAGCGCCGGTGGGAGGGCGGCGAGCCCGGCCGTGGGCCCGCTCTCCCCGGGGGCCGGAGCGCCGCGCCGCCCCCCCTCCAGGTGCCGCCCCAAGCACCAGCTTGGTGGGCTGGTGCCTGGAGCCGGCCCTGGTCCTGCCTGTGACATGACCCCTCTCTGCCCTGTAATGTCCCCTATGCCAAGAGAGATGGGATAGTGGGTGACATATAACTGGCTATGCCATCCAAGGATTTTCCTACCTCGAGGGAACCCCCAGTTGCCTGACTAAAGCTGATTTCAAGTCCAGCTTGGTCCTTGCACCGTAACAGTAAGGAGACTTAACCAGAGCCATGGATCTGGCACACACAGCCGTAAATATGGATGTTTTGGAAAGCAAATAACCCTCAGGAGCTTCTAAGAAGTAGTCATTAAAGCAAAGCCTGTCTAACACTTAAGTCCTACTTAGCCCCTACTCTGACAGTGGAACTTAAATGGTGCATAGGGAATGTGCTCTGCAGAAAGGTGAAGATAATCGACCACACACAGGCTATAGGGTGAAAAAGAGACCCTAGTGCCATTTAGAAACTATCCTGCACATATTAAGGTAATTTTAAAATTCTGGCATTAACTTATAACCCACACACTGACTTCTGTGGGACTGCAGGTATGTAAATTGTGTAGACATTAGCCCCATTTATTTAGAAGTCTAGTGCTGCAAACAAGGAAACAGATGGACAATTAAAGATGTGCTCCTGAGAATCCTGAAATCTCAGTATTCTACAGTTATCTCAGTTATTTCAGTATTCTAAAGAACAAGTCCAGACGTATCACTTACTGTCTCATCACTGTAAGAAGGCATTTCGTGTAATCAGGAACTATACATTACAATCACAAGTCTGAATAATATAAGATATCCAAATATGAATACTGTGCTTCCCTGCATCAAATATTATGGAATGCCTTGTACAGGTAACAAGGATTTATGAAATAAACTGAAATTAGATTTTTCAGTAACCCTATAGAGCCTTTTCAGACTTAAAGCCAGTACTTGAAATAATACAGGCATATTTACAGCTGGGTTATGATCCGGTACATGAAACCTCAGTCCTAATTCTTAAATGGCTTGTGGAGGGCGGGGGGAGAGAGACAGATGTTTTTGACTGTAAATGCTCAGCACCACCACCAGCAGTTAAAAATAAAAAAAGATCTAAAAATACTGATTGATTGAACTACTTCACTATATTCTGCTGCAGTTTCTGTATTGCAGCAGATGATGGCAGCATTCTTTTAGGTGCCAACATCCTAATTGTACTGAACTGTTTTCAAAGAATCTATATGCCATTTCCATTTTAAATGATAAGTGTAAAGGAATTACATGTTAATGTTTGGCTATCTCCGTTTTAAAAGATAGATAGATGGAAAACTCACTGTTTGCATGTGTATTTGGAAGGAAAGTTGAGTACTGTCTGGGGAAGCAGTCTGTTTTGAAATTGTGTCCTGGTCAGAGATGTTTCAAATCCTGCATCAGCCCTCTGAATATAGGTAAGAAATGTTGAAAACTCTAGCCCCCATCTTGCAGTACAGATGCAATGTTGCAGATTCTTTTACCTGAATGGAGTTCATTGTATGCAAGGGTCTGCACTGATCCATTTGTTTGCAGGATCAAGGACTAAGCTTTTGCCTAATGGCAGAAATGCAGTCAAATACCATGCCCCCAAATGCCACTTCTGAGCCACTCTATACAGGACTTTGAAATGCTGATTTGTTAGTGGTACAACACTGATACCAGAGCAACCATCTCTAGAGGTAGCACTTTTGCAAAGAATGTTGCACAATGACCATTCTTCAGATAAAAAGCAACAGAGAGTCCTGTGGCACCTTTAAGACTAACATGTGTCTGACGAAGTGGGTATTCACCCACGAAAGCTTATGCTCCAATACATCTGTTAGTCTTAAAGGTGCCACAGGACTCTCTGTTGCTTTTTACAGATCCAGACTAACACAGCTACCCCTCTGATTCTTCAGATAGGTATTCTTGGGGTGACTGTGGAGAGGACTTTAATATCCCAATATAACTAGTTACTGATATATTTCTACTTCCTAAATTATGGCTGCCTTGCAAATACACCATCAGTTTTTTAATTCTGTGAAGAAGTGGACATCTAAGTTTAACTGGAAAGTTATTTAACCTACCTTTAAATGTCACATGCATACTTCAACTTTTCCTAAAAAAAATCTCTAAATTATACAAATTAGAGGTTGTTTTCTTGTAAAAGTATATATTTCTCTGTTACATCACCTTGCAACAAACCCCCAGGGTTGTGTTTTTGTACAAGTACATGGATTTTTATGTGTACATTCTTTTCAGCCTCTCTCCAGTTCTATTCCTGTGAGAAAATAGGGAACTGATATAAACATGAATCCTATGCTGCAGTGTGCTGCGAAAAAACTAATACATTTCAGAAATCCTGTTACCCAGGACAAAAGAACAAAACAGACAGGAAGATCAGAGGGATGTTGCAACATACACATGTGGCATAAATCAAACAGCTGACAGGTCTAATTTTTGTTCTAATGGCCTTGATAAACTTGCTTACATTAGAAAACTGTACTCCTTATGTATCAAAGCTTGCCCACAGCCAAAAATGAAATAGGAAATCAGACAATTCAGGCCAGTGCAGTTTTACAGCCTTCCACAAGATGTCTCTAGCTCACTGAAATCTGGAATATGACCTCTGCTAAAGAAGATCTGTTATAGTCATCCAAGCCCAATTTTTATTCATTATGATACAAGGGAAACACATATTTGGTGTTACTTGGTTGTGTGTTTAAAATATCTATTACCTTCACAGGGTCTCTTTCAGATGCATTAAATTTAATAAAGTAGATTTTACTGGTAAATAAACTAAAAGTAAGTTATATTTAACTAATTGGAAATAATGATGCAATCTGTGTGTTTGGGGTAAACACCCCATATTAAGAGTGACAATACAATTAGCAGATCCAATGTTTCAGACCAACAGGAAACAAATTCTCCAAAAACCACATGCAATTTAAAATCAGAATGTGTTTATGCTGAGTGGCTGTTACATTGAAATCTATCCTTAGCAATCATTTCTGGGACTGACAAAAATTGGTTGCTTAATGAAGATGGTGCTGTAATGAATATGAAGCCAAATTGTACTCTGTATCTGGGACTACAATGGGACGGAATCTTAAGACAGTGGAAACAGATGACTAGGGAGGAGTATAAAAATATTGCTCAAGCACAGAGGGGTGTAATCAGGAAGGCCAAAACACAACTGGAGTTGCAGCTAGCAAGGGATGTGAAGGGTAACAAAAAGGGTTTCTACAGGTATGTTAGCAATAAGAAAAAGGTCAGGAAAAGTGTGGGTCCCATAATGAATGGGGGAGGCAACCTAGTGACAGATGATGTGGACAAAGCTGAAGTACTCAATGCTTTTTTTGCCTCTGTCTTCACAGACAAGGTCAGCTCCCACACTGCTGTCCTGGGCAACACAGGATGGGGAGGAGGTGAGCAGCCCTCAGTGGTGAAAGAACAGGTTAAGAACTATTTAGAAAAGCTGGACATGCACAAGTCAATGGGTCCAGATCTAATGCATCCGAGAGTGCTGAGGGAATTGGCTGATGTGATTGCAGAGCCATTGGCCATTATCTTTGAAAATTCACAGCGATCGGAGTGGTCCCAGACAATTGGAAAAAGGCAAATATAGTGTCCATCTTTAAAAAAGGGAAGAAGGAGAACCTGGGGAACTACAGACTGGTCAGCCTCACCTCAGTCCCTGGAAAAATCATGGAGCAGGTCCTCAAGGAATCCATTTTGAAGCACTTGGAGGAAAGGAAGCTGATCAGGAACAGTCAACATGGATTCACCAAGAGCAAGTCATGCCTGACCAACCTGATTGCCTTCTATAATGAGATAACTGGCTCTGTGGATATGGGGAAAGCAGTGGACGTGATATATCTTGACTTTAGCAAAGCTTTTGATACGGTCTCCCACAGTATTCTTGCCAGCAAGTTAAAAAAGTATGGATTGGATGAATGGACTATAAGATGGATAGAAAGCTGGCTAGATTGTCGGGCTCAATGGGTAGTCATCAACAGCTCGATGACTAGTTGGCAGCCGGTATCAAGCGGCATACCCCAGGGGTCAGTCCTGGGGCTGGTTTTGTTCAACATCTTTATTAATCAGAGGGGTAGCCGTGTTAGTCTGAATCTGTAAAAAGCAACAGAGGGTCCTGTGGCACCTTTAAGACTAACAGAAGTATTGGGAGCATAAGCTTTCGTGGGTAAGAACCTCACTTCTTCAGATGCAAGTAATGGAAATTTCCAGAGGCAGGTACCATCACAGGACCTAACCAGATCAGCTACAACATCACCGGCTCATTCACCTGCACGTCCACCAATGTGTTATATGCCATCATGTGCCAGCAATGCCCCTCTGCTATGTACATTGTCCAAACTGGAGAGTGACTACGCAAGAGGATAAATGGACACAAGTCAGATATCAGGAATGGCAATATACAAAAACCTGTAGGAGAACACTTCAACCTCCCTGGCCACACAATAGCAGATGTAAAGGTAGCCATCTTACAGCAAAAAAACTTCAGGACCAGACTCCAAAGAGAAACTGCTGAGCTCCAGTTCATTTGCAAATTTGACACCATCAGATCAGGATTAAACAAAGACTGTGAATGGCTATCCAACTACAGAAGCAGTTTCTCCTCCCTTGGTGTTCACACCTCAACTGCTAGCAGAGCACCTCACCCTCCCTGATTGAACTAACCTCGTTATGTCCATACTGATTTACACCTGCCTCTGGAAATTTCCATTACTTGCATCTGAAGAAGTGAGGTTCTTACCCACGAAAGCTTATGCTCCCAATACTTCTGTTAGTCTTAAAGGTGCCACAGGACCCTCTGTTGCTTTTTATCTTTATTAATGATCAGGATGATGGGATGGATTGCACCCTCAGCAAATTTGCAGATGACACTAAGCTTGGGCGGAGAGATAGATACACTGGAGGGTAGGGATAGGCTCCAGAGTGACCTAGACAAATTGGAGGATTGGGCCAAAAGAAATCTGATGAGGTTCAACAAGGACAAGTGCAGAGTCCTGCACTTAGGACGAAAGAATCCCATGCACCAGGCTGGGGATCGACTAGCTAAGCAGCAGTTCTGCAGAAAAGGACCTGGGGATTACAGTGGATGAGAAGCTGGATATGAGTCAGCAGTGTGCCCTTGTTGCCAAGAAAGCTAACGGCATATTGGGCTGCATTAGTAGGAGCATTGCCAGCAGATCGAGGAAAGTGATTATTCCCCTCTATTCGGCACTGGTGAGGCCACATCTGGAGTACTGTGTCCATTTTTGGGGCCCCTACTACAGAAAGGATGTCGACAAATTGGAGAGAGTCCAGTGGAGGGCAACAAAAATGATCAGGGAGCTGGGGCACAAGACTTACAAGGAGAGGCTGAGGGAACTGGGCTTGTTTAGTCTGCAGAAGAGCGAGGAGGGATTTGATAGCAGCCTTCAACTACCTGAAGGGGGGTTACAAAGAGGATGGAGCTCGGCTGTTCTCAGAGATGGCAGATGACAGAACAAGGAGCAATGGTCTCAAGTTACAGTGGGAGAGGTCTAGGTTGGATATTAGGAAACACTATTTCACTACGAGGGTGGTGAAGCACTGGAATGGGTTATCTAGAGATGTGGTAGAATCTCCATCCTTAGAGGTTTTTAAGGCCCGGCTTGACAAAGCCCTGGCTGGGATGAGTAGTTGGTGTTGGTCCTGCTTTGAGCAGGGGTTTGGACTAGCTGACCTCCTGAGTTCTCTTCCAACCCTAATCTTCTATGATTCTATGACAGTGGTTTTATAAGGGTTGTGTCTTGTACAGGTTCTACTGTATATTCGGTTACTTAACAACTTGACAATTTGTCCTCATCCCTGTTTTAAAAAAAAAACAATAATCCTCTCAGTCTACTAGATTTTAAAAATCCCTTTCCTTTCCCCACCCAGATATTGTATTACAGTGCCTGACAGGTTTTTCACTGACCTTGTTATTGGCTGTAAGTCAGTTGTGATCACATTCCAACATGGCTACCATCTGATCTGGTAGTGTCCAGAACTGAATAATATGCTCTACATATAGTTGCTGAGTGTAGCTTTATATAATGAAATTATTATAAAGAAGAATGTGATGCATAGACCTTTATGCTTTTGTGGTGGCCTTCCACTGCTCTCTTCTATGGTTCACCATCAATTAACATTGTGCTGGAATCATGACAATGTACCCAGAAAAATCAAAGAGCAGCAGAAAAGGTATGTTCTACCTGGAAACGCAATCAATTCTGTGCATATTCAGCAACAATCATAATATATACTTTGGGAAGTTTAACAGTCTCCAATTAAGCCTTTGTACTATTTGCTAAAAGATAATTTATGAACATGTTTTAAATGTTATTAGGATATATAAACATAATAAAAGACGACAATACTTCAGGACGAGATTTTCAGAAGTATACAGTGATTTTGTGTGCTTGTTTTTTTGAGTATCCGAACTGAAAAAATGCTAAAGGCACCTGATTTTCACAGGATGGGTGCCCAGCACTTTCTGAAAATCAGGTCCCTTTAAGGTGTGTCTAGTTGGACACCCAAGAATTGAAAGTCACCTCTCAGCTACATCGAGGTAAATCAATTCACTTCACTCTAAGTAAAAGGAGAATTTGGCCCAATAACTATGATTTGACAAGAGCCTAATTTCTTACATCATTGGGGCTCTTGTCTTGCTTTTCATGTTTTTCCTTGTCATAAGCCATCTTTTTCAGCAGTTTTTTCATAGCTTTGTCCTTTTTCTCCTTCTTCTGACTTGCAGTGTTTTGCTTTCTCACTTGGTTGACAATAAATTTAGGAATCTGAAAGAATATACATCTTAATTATTAACACACATATAACTTCCTTGAAATACTAAACACCTACCAAAACTTTCTAAGTGACAGGCTGTCAGATGGGCCTTGCAAAAGCTAATACTTATTTCCAGTAACAAACACTCAGAAACAATCTAAGGCCTTGACCTCACATTTGGGATCTGCTGGTGTTGAAATTAATGGGGCTATTTAAGGAGTAAGGTCTCAACATGAGTATGAGTGGCAGAATGGGCCCTCACATAGTGTCTCTACTTCCCTGAATCAAAAAATATTAAATAAGGAATCTGAATTACAGAGTTTGCCCCATAATAATTCTGTAAGTGTGAGGCTGTTGGAGGAGATTGTTTAAGGTAGCTAGTGGAAAACAAAGCCCCAAATTTCACAGGGCTGACCTATATCCTGCTTGTAGGTCTTTCATAGGGACTGTCATGACACAACTAATTTTCTCAAAGGACAATGACTGGCCCTATACTGAAATACATTTCAGAACAGGAGACAAAGATCTTGAGGTTGAAAGAAACAAATTACTCATTAGATGGGTCATTGTTATAGACTATACACAGGTATCCCAGATGACTTATCTCTGAGGTCAGGTATTCTACATAGATATATAGTCTATATATCACATTAATAGTCAGACTGAAAGTCTAATTTTGCTCTCATCTATAATGATTTTGCCATTGGTGTAACTTCACTGAAAATTACCCATCAGTTAGGGCCCAGCTGTGCTCTTTGCTGCCTCTCCCTCCCTTCCCCTCCTCCCCCCCTCCAGTGTGTCAATCTCACCTCTACATGACTGGTAGGGGTTCAGATGCCTCCTTGCTCTTTGAAAGCAATGGATGGTTTGATTGTGATTTTGTAAGGCTTAGGGAAAATGCACATTTTTTTAAAGAACAAACTTACTGTCCAAAGAAGTTTTTGGTATTTAATCATAAAGCGCATGACGTTTGCTGTTCCAGCAGCCATAACAAACTCGCTTTGTTCAATAGTCTTTGAGCCTAACCCATGAAACGTGAAGAGGTTTGGGGCCATCACCATTGCAACATTATTTAATGTCATTTTATTTTTATCTCGATGATCAATTACCCTTTGGAGGAATTCAAGCAGTATCTGAAATGAAAGTAGCACTTGAAGGCAAGTTCTGCACATGAAAAAATCATATAGAGTGAAGCATCGTGTTACGTATTCTTTGAAAAGGCTTTTTATGTCCTTGTTAAAAAATAGGGTTATATAAAAAAGCAAACAATGATGGGAAGTGCAGATGGGTTTATACACAAGGCTGCAATCTGAACTTCCTTACACCACTTTACTGATGAGGTGAAACCCTGACTTAGAGCTGAGAGTGTGAAGAAGTAAATCATTCTTCATTAGCTTTGGGGTAAAATTTTCTAAGGCATCTAAGGGTATGTCTACACTGCAATTAGACACTGGCCGCTGGCCCGTGCCAGCTAACTCAGGCTCATGGGGCTTGGGCTAAGGGGCTGTTTAACTGCAGTGTAGACATTTGGGCTCAGGCTGGCGCCCGGGCTCTGGGACCCTAAGCTGTGCTGAAACCCTTCTTTATTTACTCCAGTCATGCAGACTACACATGAGTAGAGCAGTGCTTTGTGAGCCACAGGTAGTCAGTGGAACTGCTTCTGTCACAGTGACAAAGCATCTGTCAGTCTCTAAGCAATGACACTTTCAGCTATCTCTAGCCCAGCCTCTGTGCATTTCCAGTGGTGGTTTTGTCAGACTAGACTAAAAAAAAAGCACCTATCCAAGCAACTCTGCACCATATACAGCTCTTCTAAAATTTTTCTTTGTCTGGTGCAATTTCAACAGTGACCAAAACTGTTAGCAGAGGAGAACAGAACCAAACAGCAAAGTGATCTGGAAGGTTTAGAGCAATGGGGGCAGTTGATATCAAGGGGAAATCCTAACTCACAAAGAGGGAACATAAACAGTACAGATAAAAAATTGGGATATAGTCAAACAACCGCACCCATCACATTCAAGTGAGTTTATTTCCTTTTTATCTCCGTGCGATTCTAAAATTGTTTTTCCATGTAAACCAGCAATAGCTGCTGCAGAAAAGGTACTGAATTGGGACTAGGATTAGAAGGTTTGAAGGAGAGGTGGTTCATTACAAGATCGTTATTGTTAGAATCTCTCGTAAAATTTTCAGAAGTGCTTAAGGCCCAGATTTTTAAAGGTATTTAGATTGTAACACCTAATTGATTTAGGAGCCCAAGACTCATTTTCAAAAGTGACTTGGGCACTTTAGGAGTCTAAGTCCCACAGAATTTCAGTGAGACGGAAGGTATGTCTACACTGCAATCTGAGGTGTGATTACAGCTCAGATAGACATACCTATGTTAGCGTGACGAAAAATAGTTGTGTAGATGCAGCAGTATGAACTTCAGTGTGAAGTCTACAAGCCAACCAAGGGCCCTGGATACCTACTTGCATTGCTGACGCCTGCTCCACAGCATCTACTATTTTTAGCCCTGCTAGCTTGAGTAAAGCTAGCGCAGGTCTGTTCACCCAAGCTGCAATCACGTCTGGGACTGCAGTGGAGACATAACCTTAGATTCCTACGTGCTCAAGTCACTTGTGAAAATGAGACTTAGATTTCTGAGTCACTTACACACTTTTGAAAATGTTACTCTCTGTCTTAAGTTACCTCAAATATGAAAAAAGTAACAACCAGCTAGTTAAAATGTTAAAAGGTACTTGAACTTTTCACAATAGATACATTAAAAATAAGCTCACTTTTCTAATGCATACATTGTTTTAAAAAAGTGAATAGCCAATCTAACCTTCAAAGTGTCTCTGTTTGCTTCAGGTAGGAGTAGTACCAAAAGATTCAATGCCTGCAGTTGATGCTTCTTAGTTGGAAGATCTGCCAAGGAAGCATATACATCTCATTTATTTAAAAGTTTTATATTTTTTCCTCCAGAAAAGGCATGATTTTAAGTTAAATATTCTTGTAAAATGTCAAGTTTCTCCTGTTCATAGATTTTCTACATAATGTTAATGAGCAACAGCAGTTGCAGCAGTGACCCAGCAGTGATAACAGTAGTGATAATAGCAGTATTGAGGATGTTGTTGATAACTTTCATGACGATGTTCATATTCTCTAACAATTGTACTTATTTTATTGCACATGAACCTGCAGAACAGACAGGCACATTTAAAATAAATAGTTACGCAAACAAATGATCCTCTGGTCTATTTTGCACCATCATCCTTGGCATAAAACAGACTTAAATGTTGTGGATCTAATCTAATCATGCGAGGATTCCTTGGATGTGGTAGAGCCACCAAAGGAGTTCCTATATGACCCTCTCCTGGCTGCCAATATGGCTAATGGAATGAGGACATGGACAGTGCCTTCATAGTTCCCAGCAATCCCTGGTTGTTGAAACAGCCCCCAAAGGGCTACTGGCAGTCCACACAACTTAAAGCATTCCTGGGGCAACTCTAAATTGCAACTAGGAACTGACCTATAGCTCACTGGCTGCAAAATAAGGGGTGCACAAAGGTGGCTTAAACCTTTATCCCTACCCCCTCATGACTTGTGTCATGTACTCTAGAATCCTGGCCACTTTCCTGTGACATGTGAAGAGATTTCGTGTGTGTGTGTGTGTGTGTCTCTCTCTCTCTCTCCTTTGGGATCCTCTTAATGCCTTCCTCCAAAAGTGACCAGTTCTTCTGGTCGTGGACAACAGGAAATGGATTTCTTTGAAACCTGTCAGAACCCTCCTGCGTTGGCTGGAGGAGTTAATAAAAGAGGGGCTCCCCACACCTGCTGGACTTCTAAGGAATTGCAAAATCAGTATTCCACACACTCTCTTTTTAAAGCAACTGGTGTGTGTTCTTGCCCAGAATGGTGCTTTATTAGCCAATAGGCTACGTTAGAGTAGATTCTCACAGTAACTGGCTGATTATTGGGGAACTGATGGTAATCAACAGCTCTGATTTTTTTTCTGGCAAATAGATACTAAATATCCTCCAAATATTAGCAGAAGCAGCATATTTTATCTTCTGGTTGATTTCCTGCTGAACTGTAACTTCCTCACTGTTGCTTATTTAAAGAGAATGATCATTTATAAACTGCTACTATCTTAACTGTAGTTTTTTAGGGCTTGTTTCACTGAAACAGAGAGCTTGAGTTACCCCAATCAAGCTAGCCTAGCTCCAGTGATGAGCAACCACACTGAAAAACAACACTTGTGCTACACCGAGTTATTGGCTCAGCAGATGGCAAGTTGTTATTTGAACTACTGCATCCCCACTGCATTCCTAGTTCAAGTATCAGCAGTACTTAAGTATCAACCCACATCTCCTTGACAAGCCAGCTCGCTCTAGCATAAAGCACCACTTAACTCAAGCTAGAGAATTGTGTGTGTGGACGGGAGTCAGTTTTGGGGCAAAACTCGAGTTCTACCTCAAGCTAGCAGTGAGTGAAGGCAACTCAGAAATCTTGTTTGCCTTATAATTCAGTGTTTCCCAAATACTATTATATAAATCTGTGTGTTTTCTTTCCCATGTGTCCTAATAAATGAATGTTCTGTGAAAAATGTTTCATTTGAACATCAGCAAAGCAACAGCCAATATTTTCTGGACAGAATTAATCCTGTTGCTATTTAATGTATTGTTCAGGCTCACGTATCGTTAGTGAAAATGGTTTCACAGCCAAGGTTTATTTGTTGAGATAACTCCCTTCTCTGTGTTTAATACGCTGCTGTTTGTGGTGTCGCCTCTGTAAATCTGAGACCCAGAAGGGACGCTGCTTACTCTGCACATCCTGGAAAGCTTTGAGATATTCCACAGTGAGTAGTGGCTGAGGCAGTTCTCGGATGAAGAGTTTTAAAAGACTTGCTGCATCATGTTGCTTCACACTTTCCCAGTTGAAAGTCCCTTCATAAAACTTTGCTTCCAGTTCTTGGCAAAGACTCTGAAAGAAAGCAGAACAGAAAGTACCACCAATGTGGAGTTTTATTCACGCTGGTGGAAGATATGTGCATTTCCCATATAGCAATACCTTCCACCCTTTGAAAAAAACACATTATCATTCAAGCACCACCTGCTATTGCTACTTTGCTACAAAAAGATAAACTCTAGACCAGAAGTATTAGAAGTGTGCAGTTAAAACCAAATGCTAATAGACACAAGACAGCATAGCTGTTCCCAGGAATTGGCGTACCCATAGGGCCAAATCCTTCCTCAGGGTCATATGATACTTTGTGCAGGAAAGAGCCTGATAAGAGCCAGATAATTATGCAAGTTGAGACTCAAAGAATCTCCTACTGATACCTTCCGCTGAGGCAAAGTTGGTCCCCTCTTCCTCTTGCAGCACAGGGAAATATCCAAACTTGTGGATGGCCTGACATCTGTGGAGAAGCTCAAACCAACCATAAGGCATGTGCACAGATGTTCAAGTCCCTACTGAAGGAGTCTTCACTTGTGTTGGACCTTAAACCTGCCCTTGTTTTGAGGTGGGGATTGGGTTCTACAGCATGGAGGGTAAGCAGCATCAAATAACACTGACTGCTTCAACATTGTCTTTTGCAGATATAACTGTGTGGTTCTGAGGGGGAAGGCTGCTTTAGCCATCACCACCCTTTGACAACCATACTGGAGAGTCTTCAGGGGGGTTCACAAGGAGTGGGAACATGTCACAGAGCTGCTTTTCCTGATTTATGCCTTCCACTTCAGATTTCACTCCATTAATTCTTGAACTACTGGATGGCTCAGGAGACCTGGAGGCACCTAGGCACCAAGAAAAAGAATCCAGGACCCGACCCATGCCAGGAGAGGGGAGAAGCTACTCCAAAAGTGGGTGATAACAAGCACCAGGAAAAGGGAAGCGCTTCAGCCACACCCTGGGGGAAGGGCTATCCCTGTATATAAAAAGATTGTGTTTTAGCTGACGGGCAAGTGTGCTACATAACAGCTGAAATTTAAACTGTCCACCCTAAAGGAAAATTGAGACAGAATTTAAAAAGAACCACCAACCTATACCATTATTTCCTTACTGGAGATTTTCTCTACCAGCCTATAGAATTCTAAAACTATTCTATAATTCTCTATTGATTTCTAGAGGACAATAAAATTTCAAAGAAACCACAAAGAGTATTATTTTCTGTTAAATTCTCTACTGTTTGTGTAAAACATGGATAATGCTCAATGTTTTACAAAAGAAATAGGTTCATTCAAAGGAGAAATTCTTCCAAATGTTTGATCCTCATTATTTTTGCAGTTATTTAGTGAATGATCTCTTATCTGGAAACACTCCCCCCATCAAACAAAACAAAAAACAAACAAAATCACCCCAAAAATGTGAAACTGTTGGAAAGTGGAAATGAAGCACTAAGCAAAGTCATGAAGCATCTTAGTTACTGGTAAATCAACAAAGCCAGTTTCCATAATATTCTTTTCCTTCAGTTGTTTCTAATGAAGCAGCTGTTGGACAAAGTTCTACATGACAGAGGCTGGCAGATATCTTGAGGCAGCTGAATCCATTTAAATATTCTTTCTGTTTAGAATTTAAGGTCTCTTTAGACCATTCTTATAATAGGCCGTATCTTGATGTAAATCACACCATGTATTTTGTTTTCTGCATTAAAGCAAATACTGAGTTATGGTTTGTGTGTAGTTGGCAGTCACTCTGTAAAGTGAAGAGACTGTGAATAGTGACCTGAGCAGTGTATAATGCTGTTTGTAGAGATAATGGAAGAGATTCTCTATGCAATTTGGCTGCTCAGTGCTATTCTACAAGTTGAATCTGGCCCTTAAAATGACTTAATTAGGCCAGGGAATATTATCCTCCAGTGGCATACAGCCTACATAGCAGCCCACTAGTCATCTGGCTCAGGGGGCTTACCTGGTTCAGGTGCAGACAAAGAGCTTGGAAATCTAGTGAGAACAACTCATGAGATTTTGGCACAGCAGAATCTGAATCTTAGCCTTGATTCAGCCTCAAACCTGACCTCCTGACCTCTTCCCCAAACGTAATCTGGATCAAAACACCATCTCCTTGGCTAGTCTAAATCAAATCTGTTTTATGTAGTTTTATTAAGATTTCATTTCCAATCTTGCCATTACAAAAGTGTTAACAAGACAAAAGTAAAAACAGCAAATGAGTATAGGCTTTCAGGGTTTTGAGAGCCCATGCAATATTTTACCTTTACTCTTGCTGCTACTCCTGGTATTCGAAGAAGTCCTTCTGTATCCAATCTTGCCTCTTCTATCTGAGAAATCAGCTGTCAATAAACAGAACCAAGCTGCATGAAGCCAAGGTGCTAATTAAAATGCTACTGGGAGATAAATATGGAACAGTGAAATCTGTTTTTGAATACAAATGATTGCAAAGTGGATTATCATTGATACAATTATATGTGTCCTACAAGGAACACCTGATACTGTTCCTTTATTTTTCATGTACACAATTTAGAGGGTTTTTTTTAAAAGGAAAATGTAAAGTCAACACTTTCTACAGAGATAGGATATTATTCAGATTTCAAAAATAAACCACCAATTGCTTATCACACTAAAAATCTGCACTAATAAAAACTATTTATTGTAGTACGAAAGACACTATATTAATTTTCAGATACACTGTCATTTACCACTTTACCAAGGAAGATCTAAGAGCTTACAATCACTGAAAAGGCTTCAGGTTTGCTAATACTGATGGTCTCATAACAGACTCAAATGAATTGCTAATCCTATGCATGTCTGAGATAAATTAGAACAATCACTGTAAAAGATTTATACTATATTACATGTATGTGACTGATGTGGCAATTTCCTGCAAGATTCTTGGAAGACCTTGTTGTATTAAGTTTATGTATTATTGTGGGATGGGATTATATGTAACCTCTCTGGGGGGAGATGTGATAGATGTGAGACCTGAGAGTTCAGAAGACTATACTGAAAATGTGTCAGACAAGTATGGACTTTTTGGACAATAAATGTGAAGTGGATTTCCTGGGAAATCCATAGGGAGAGGTTAATGCAAATTTCCCAACTTCTATTATGCAAAAACCCAGCCTGTTGAAGCTATGCCTGAGAAGAGGGTCACTGTCTGCCGATTACCTGTTACAGAAGGCGAAGACCAAAGGCCTGAGCTGTATAAAGAAATGGTTCATCTGCCCAGCCCCTGTTCTGGTTCTGGATGTAAGATGGATGAACTTGTAACCATGGAGAAAACCTAGTTGTGGGTGTTGAAGGTTGGAGTTGGGGTGACCTCTGTTAAGCTTTCCAGCATGTGTGTAGGTTCTTTTTATTGTTTTAATGTTTTCTCTGTAACACTTTTACTATAAGAATAAATGTGGTTGCTTAGAAGGAGCTGTGCAATAACTTGTAACTACGGGCAACCACTGGGCATAGCTTTTGGAGAGAAAACAAAGTGGAGGTGCTGGCCTGTTAGGCAGTCTGGCCTGCTGGGGTATCACAGTATAGGTCAGGGAGCTGTGCAGCCTTATATCTGCGGTCAGAGGGGATTAATGCAGGATTCCACTCAGGGGAGGTGACAGGTAGGAGTCAGAAGCCTTTAAGTGCGTCCCTCGGCCTGTGCCGCTTCCAGCAGCTCCCATTGGCCTGGAGCAGCGAACCGCGGCCAGTGGGAGCCACGATCGGCCGGACCTGCAGAAGCGGCAGGTAAACAAACTGGCCCGGCCTGCCAGGGGCTTTTCCTACACAAGCGGCATCCCAAGTTTGGGAAACACTGTCCTAGATCAACACTTGATGCAGTGTTTATCTTGGGCAACACTTGTAATGTACATGTTTCTGTGCCAACTAAGGTTTGAACTATAAACTATGCTGTACAGCAGCATTTTTAATTGCACAAATAAAAGGGATGATTTACTATTCAATGAATTTATGTGATTGATACAGATCATGAGAATATAAAAAAGACACCAAAGTTGGAATACATCATAAAAGTGGATTTGTTCAGAATATATTTTCCTGGTTAAAGACTTCACTTATTAATACTCATAGATCCTGATTCCCACATCCAAGCTGAGCTTGGACATAGTGGACAATGGCTGTGGGGAACAGCTTAATCCTTGGCCTCCTGATCCTGGCAGAAGTTAGACCAGCAGCAGGACTATTCTAACTTCTGCCACTGGGCCTTAGGTCAGTGATGGATCAAATTTTAGTGGAACTCTGCTCTCCATGCCCCCTCCCACCTACACCCATTCTTGAACACCTCTACGCCAGAGGTGAGAGGTAGCAGCTGACACACCACCAGCTGTCCCCTAACTGAGTTTCCCTGAATGGGAGGAATTCTAACTGTCTATATCCAGCTGTTTTAAGGGTGCTTTGCACTGCTCAGTGGTGCAAAGTGGCCTTAGCAGACCAGATAATCAGTACCATAGTCTTTCTGCAGGTCTCCCCATTGGTATAAATAGGGAATTCCATATACAGATTCTTAGTTTTGAAGGTCAGAAGGGACTGTTACGGTCAGCTGGTATGACTCCCCGCCGAACACAGGCCATAGAACCTTGCCCAGTAATTTCTAATTAAGTCTATAACTTCTGGTTGAGCTACAGCAGATCTTTTAGAAAGACGTCCAGTTTTGACTTAATGAGTGCAAGTGAGGGAGAATCCACCACATCCTTAGGGAGATCTAGGTGAGTCAGGCTCCATGCTTCTTAAAATTTTTAACTAGTTTGAAAGTTCTAATATAGGAATTAGCTTTTCAAAGTCTGGAACCCAGCAGGCCATATCATGCCATTAGTTTTTAATTAGGACTCCCTACTGAAATCATATCTATAGGACGTTCTGCATAAAAATTATGTTATTATATCATCCAATATTTATAAAATTCACAAAACTGAAAGTAAAAATGACAGAGTTGGTGTTTTGTTTTTTAGGGGGGTGGAGGTTGGGTTTTTTTACAAAATTGATGCTTATTTTAAAAAAATCTTCCTGTTGAATTGGTTTGTTTCAGTGATGTGCAGCCAATATTTTAAAATTCCTGAAAATATTCTCCCTTAATTTGTTATGAACCCTCAAGTCCAGTAGTGGATGTGCTGCAGAAATGAGAAGGGAGAGATGGGAAATCCATTCACATATTTCCCATTTAAACAAAAAAGGATTACAATCAAGATGAGATCACACAGCAAATAAATTAAGTGTATTTGCTAGAAATGTTTATGTAGAACTTTCTTCCTGGAAAACTATACTGAATAAATTGATGGTATAGCGCAGTGACCAGCATATATCATTTGCAGTGGAGTAGGGTGAAGACCTATTTGGAGGATGTGGGGACTTTTTTCCCCCTTTTTTTATTACTGTCCATTTGGTACAATCTTGTCCACAGAAAAGGTAAAAAAATTGTTCTTCAGAAGTGTGTTTTGTTTTGTTTTTGTTTTTTTTATAGTCCCTAAGATGTAATTTCTGGCACGAATCATATAGCAGTAGTACCTAGAGAGGGATAGGAAATTACTATAAGTCTCCTTTTGATTTGGTGGAAAAAAATAACAAAAAAGCTCTCAAAAACCTCTAAAAGGCCTCTCCAGAACTTCAATTATTTGTCTTGAAAAATAACGGCCTATTCTCCTAGGAATACATTTCTACAACTCCTGCTAAACAGAATTTGGCCTGGAATGGTGTTAGATGTTGGACATCTGGTTTCACGGGCTTACTAATAAACCCTGACCAAATCATGGCTGACTTAATACACCTTAGTAATGTATTTTTCTAATAATAATTCACTAGATGTCCTAATTAATTACTCTACTCTAGCACTGGAGCATGCCAATGACAATTCACAATACTTCTAATGTAAACAACTTACAATTACTTGCTGAACTGTATTCTCTACTCCACTAACTCAACTAAAGTAAGTTAGTGGAGTAGAGAACTGTACAAAGGCCATGTATCCAACTTAGTGCATTAATAGTACAAAGCACAGCCCTTAATAAAAGCTACAGTCTCTTCTAATGGAGATGAATGCTACATTTGAGGTTCACAGTACAGAGATGGTATGTCACTGTGAAAACTTGATTATAGTGAGCATATGAATCCAGGACAAATGCTATCACCTCTAGAATCTAGAAGGTTTGTAACAAACTGACTTGTTCATGCCTACTCACTTTGTGAAAGATCAGTGGTATCCTGGTGCCTGGTACTTTCTTCTGATCCTGTTCCAGCAAAACTGACAGTGGGACACCAAAAAGACCAGAGTCTACACAAAGAAAAGAAAATAGAGACACTATCCACATCTGCTCCAATACATGAGATAAGTGGCACAAAACACATTTTCAAAGAGATAAGCCCATTCAATACATTCAGAGCCATTGATCTTCTCTTCAGCATATCTGAATGTCTTCATCAATCAAGTCATTCAGAGCATGATTAAACAAAGCACTTGGCTAAAAGCAAAGCACTTGTTCATCTCCTCCTTCACCCATAAATGAGGAGTCCTCTGTTTTACCTTCAAATTGCCATCCACACACACTGCAGTACAGTGAAGGAAACTGCATAAATGAACCATCTGCATGATTCTGATTTGTGGAAAACTGTTGTGTTGATGACCGAGAAATGCAGATCTTTATTACTCAATACAAGTTTAGATGCAAATGGCTTTAGTAAGCTTCCCAAGAATGTGGCTGCTAAAATGAAATAGAGGTAATTATACTGTAATCCACTTTTACTCTAAACAGTCCTCTCCCTCTGTGTTTTGAAAGAAGAGCTAGTCAGCATTCATTGTGCTTTTTTGCATCCTCTAGTGTAAACAGGTTGATAGTGCATCTCAAAAAAGGAATATTTTAATATGAAAATTAAAGCCAAATCTTGTTCCATGCTCGTTGTAAGCCCTGGTTAAAAAATGGCCATTATCTCATCTTACCTAACTTTACTTTATGGTCCTATATGTTTATGGTAAGAGTGTTCTGCCTTAGATAAATACTAATCAGAAGTGAATGGTTTCTGAGAGAGAGGTACACTGGCAAATTATTGAACCTTAAAGACTTGTGTCTTGTAACTACTCTGCTAGGATAAGGTTAATGCCTACAAAGGTCATTTTTCTGGAACTGTGTATAGAACAGTGATACAAGGTAAGTGAAGTAATATCTTTTATTGGACCAACTTCTGTTGGTGGAAGGAACAAGCATTTAAGCTTCACAGAGGTCTTCCTCAGGTTGGAAGAAGATAATCAACATTTCCCAGCCTAAATACAAGGTGAGAAAGATGGTTAAGCATAAAGGGTTCACACATGCTGTAGAAGACCACTTAAAATGAAACAGGCAATTAAGAGCTAGAAAATAGTAGGGTGTGTTACAAATTGATCCTGCTAGTGAAAGCAGGGGGCTGGACTCGATGACCTTTCAAGGTCCCTTCCAGTTCTAGGAGATAGGATATCTCCATTATTATAATATTATTATTATTATAATTATTGTTGTAATAAGCCATAAAACCAGTGTCTCTGTTAAGTCCATAGTTTTTAAGTGTCTTGCAAAGTTATGATTTTAAGTTTCCAGGCACATCTTTTTGAAGACGTTGTGCAGGTTTACTTTGAGAACCAGGACTAATAAGTCAGCTATGGAGTGACTGTTTTGGGAATAGTGTTCACCCATGGGTGATAGGGTGTCTTTTTTTTTTTTTAAATCATTTTTCTGTGTAAGTTCATTCAAGACGGTAGTGATTATCTGGTTTTACCCTCATAGTTGTTGTTGGGGCATTTGATACCCTGGATGAGGTACACCATGGGTTGTGATAGGCTCTGTTTGCCAGAAGCTGGGAGTGGACAACAGGGGATGGATCACTTGATGATTACCTGTTCTGTTCATTCCCTCTGAAGCACCTGGCATTGGCCACTATCGGAAGACAGGATACTGGGCTAGATGGGCCTTTGGTCTGACCCAGTAGGGCCAGTCTTATGTTTTTATGTGTAGTAGTTCCAACACACAAATCTTTAAGATTCAATAATTTTCCAGTGTACCTCTCTCAGAAACCATTCTCTTCTGATTAGTATTTATCTAAGGCAGAGCAGTCCTACCGTAAACATATAGGCCCATATAGCAATGTAAAATTAGATGTGATGAGATAATGGCCATTTTTAACCAGGGCTTACAAAAAGTATTGAACAAGACTTGGCTTTAATCTTCATATAAAAACATGCGTTTTTCGAGATGCACTATAATCACTTGAAAAGTGTGTTGTGGGGGGTATTGATCATCATAGCAGTGGAGATATGTCTGCAGGTTTTGTATCTGTTGTTCTGACAGCCTCTGGTGTCACTTTGAGGTGGTGTGTCCTGGTCTGTGGGGAGCTTGCTTCTGATAATGAGCTGGGCAAGGCTCGGGGGTTGTTTGAAGGCAAGAAGAGGGGGTTCAGGAAAATTTCTTTCAGGATGTGGTCCCCATCAAATATGGGTTGTAACTGTTTGATGACACCCCGTATGGGTTCTCATCTGGGATGATAGGTGACATCCAGCGGTGTGCGATCAGTGAGGTTTTTTTCTGTACTGAAGCAGGTTCTCCGAGTCACTTGGATGGCCTGTTCTATGATGTGATCTACTTCTCTGGTGCAGTATCCTTGTTTAGTGAAGGCGGTCTTAAGTGGGTTTAGGTGTGAATATAGAACCATGATATCACTTCTTATATCAACGTAAGTGTCAAATGAGTCACCATAAGGAGTTCCTTTAGAATGTGCCTTATTTAACAAGTATATTGAAAACGGGCCATTATCTGTAAAATATGTGCACTCACAACTACCTACCTACCTACACACACACACACACACACACAAAATCCTTCCTGTGCATGCTCGCTGAGCTACTAGATAGCAGAACCCATGTGGGTCTGCTGTGGTGAGGGAGGAGGTGCAGGCTACAGGAAGCCCGTGCAAAGGTTTCACACCCCCCTTTTTGCAACAGAGCGGTGTACTCCCCAGCATCTCCAGCCACCCAAACACAAAGGGAAATGGCTAGTGGACCCACTACCGCATGAATCCAATGGCCAAACCATGCTGCATGAGGTGGGGAGATGGAGATGCTGCAGACCACAGGTCTGCTGCAAACAGAGGTGTGAAAAATCTGCAGGGACTTCCTGCATCCTCCCACTATCGCATGGATGCTCTGACCAAATTACATTGCAGGTGAGAGGGGAGAGAGACGCTACAGGGTATGTCTACACTGAATCTGGGAGCAATCCTCCCAGCCTAGGTCCTTGTGCTAGCATGCTAAAAATAGCTATGTAGACTTTGCTTTCATATTGCAACTCAGGCTGGGGCTGGAGCTCGGGCTCAGGCTTTGAGTCACAACATCAAAGCAACATCTACACAGCTATTTTTTGGAAATTGGTGAAAGCCCCTTTAGCATGAGTCTGTGGGCCCGGCTGGGGGGCTTGCTCCCACATGTAGTATAGACATCCCCCAGAGGTCCTGCACCCTTGAGGTGGGAATAGCTACTGTCAAGCCACTCCATTTCTTGGGAGGCAGGGTGACACTCTGCTGCCTCTTTCCCACATTGTTGTAGGGCCCCTAAATCAAGTTCATCTTTTTGGGTTGGGTGCAGGACAAACAATTTTAGCCAATTTACTTGTTTTCCCTGCTGGCAGTCATTTAAAAAACATGACAGAGATAATATTACATTAAAACTACCTAGGTTTGGTAAGAAGGCCTATTCAAATACACAATAAAAAAAATCAAGAGAAAAAAGTATTTTGCTTGCACACCATTTTCTAATGGTTGTAGCACAGGAACTTCTGCAGGGTGGAAATTCATTTAGGAATCAAGGTCACAAAGATGGTTGTGTGTATGCTTTTGCATTTAAAAAGTTATTTTCTGCTACTGTAAAGTGAAGAGTGTATTCAGAGGAATCAATTGTATCCTGCTGTATGTCTCTCAACACTCTCTGTTGCTTTCAATTATTTAAAGGGAGCTATTTCACTGTCACATCCATTGAACCTTGACAACAGGGTTTTGGCCAAAGTGGGTTTGTGATTAACTGGTAATACATTTCGAGCTCTTGTAAAACAGTTAGCAGAAGGTCAGAAAAGCAGACAACTACCAAAACACTGAAAACCTCTTGCAACTTGAAATAGGTTTCCACATATTTCTAGTTTTTGAAAAGGAGTCAGGATCATACATAGGCTCCAGTGGCTTGATGCCACAGTGACTTGCTACAAGAACTGCCTCAACAGATCCCCTCCCCTGCCCTTTAGTGTATATGATGCCATGCCAACACACAACACAGAAATGCACAGGAGATCTGCAAATGCCAAAAAGAGGTTGCGATCTGAGAAATGCAGGATGTGTTAGGGCACATCAATATAAGTTACTACAGGAAAAAGATGACAAATTATTGCACTGGGCAAGAGGTGCAGGCTGAATGTGGAGGGACCATATAGGGTGGCACATTTTGTGCCTTATACAGAGCTCGGCACAATGCAATAGAACAGGATAAGGGTGATGAGGAGATATCTACTCCTAAGCAAATCCTCCCATCTTCATGAAAAGGGGCTGCTTTAGGTACTATGGAGCAGATTCTCGCTATAGGGCTGGAGAAGTGCTTTTTGTTAAGCCAAACACAAGTTATTGGGCTCACAACAGGAGGAATTACAATGATATTCTATGGCCTGTGTGATGCAGGAAGTCAACCTATGTGATCTAATGGTCCCTTCTCACCTTGGAAGCTCTGAAACTATGAATCTCTGAAAGGCTCTGAAGCAACGCTTCCATCATACTGTAGTACTATCCAGAGGATTCCTTTCCCTTGCTCCCTAATCTGCCCAGTGCCTGGCCCAGAATGCCTGGCCTCGTACTAAAGTTAGCTAAAATCCTCTTTAGCTGGAACAGTTTATGTGCATGAGGCTGTTTAAATGTAGAGTCTGGAGCTCTCTGGCTACAGTGTAATGCTGAATCAGGGCCCATATTACCAGCTAATGTATATCTCTTCTTTGGAATCATTTAAAAACAATCCCACAGAGACCCATTTGTTTCTAAAGAATTTATAACTGTACTACTCACCTTTCGTTTTGATTTTTATGGCTTTTTGTTGCTTGAATTCTGTCCCGAGTAAGTCATACAGCGCGGTTAGCTCAATTAGTGCTAAGGAATAGACTTTCTTCATGTCCTGAGGGGCCAAATCACCAATCTTTGTGGTACCCGTTTTGTCCTTTGGCAATCTGAAATTCTAGAACATAGGATTTGCATCATGGCAAATAAACAATCTCAACACATTGAAGGACAAAGAAAAGTGACAAGTATAAAGGCCATTCTGCTGCTGTGGCACCACTTTTGTAATGAAACACGTTGCTACAGATGGGTGCCACAGAAAAGTGACATAGTTTAAAAAGCAGGCTGTCTGCAGCATGTAAATTCCCCATGCTTGTTGCACAATCAAACTTGCCTGGCAAAACCTATACAATGCAATGACTATATCTGATTGCAAAAAGCAAATCTGTGATGGATAGAACACGGTCTAGCGCAGATAATTTGATTAGTATGCACTTCTGGGTGGTATCTCTTTCCTTTCTCTCTTTTTTATGTTGTCTATTTAGGTTCCAACTTCACTGGGGCTTTGAGTAGATGCAGAAGTCTGCCTAGATGCAGTTGACTGTAGGATCAGGGTCACAGATGATAAACTCTTTGGGGCAGGAACCTGTCCTCTTATGTGTGTGTTTACACCTCACTCATTCTTGGGTGCCACATAAAAAATTAGTAATAGGAGGCTCACTGTTGTTCCCTCCCTCATTATTTACTATTTGTATTACCATACCACCTTGGACTCCAGTCATGGAGCAGGGCCCATTGAGCTAGGCATGATACAAACACAGAACAAAAAGATAAGCCCTGCCCATAAGAGCTTATTTGACTTTACTTCTGCTTCCTGTGATACAGGAAGTCTAACTCTAGCAGATAAGGGCTGGATGCATCTCTTTTAAAGTATAACACACCAAGAACCCGGCAGGAGGATTACTCAAAAGCTAGACATGGCATTCTTTCTGCTGGAAAGGACCCTGGATACCTTCATGGTCCTCTAGCCTCTGTTGGCTCCGAGGTATAGCTGAATTTGGGGTTGAAAACTCTGTGTGGCTGCTGAGCCAGCCCTTATTTATGATTGGTGGATGTAACCAGCTTCCTGCTTGGGGTTTAATTAACACACTTTATACGCTTCTTGTTTCAAATCAATATATAAGACCATGTGAATATGTGTGGGTGAGGGAGGGAAGGTCGGTACAGATCACACGTATCAATCGTCAGATCACTCCTTTTCTGAAATGTTTCGCTGCCTTAGGATTGTTCATCCCTAAGGTTATGGAAAAAGCCATAGCCACTTCAGTGTGTAGACAGTCAATAAGTAAAACTCCAGTAAACTGTTCTTTGAATGTGTAAATAATGTGTGACTCTTCTACAATTGAGTCAAAGACTTTCATAAGCCAGGCCAGAGTTTCCATTCCTATTTTTTTCTGCATTACTGAAGTGTGAGTCAAACATTTTTCAAAACCATTTCTCAGTGTTTCATTAGTGTCAGGTTTATTGTATTAAAACTAAGGGAACGTTCAGTAATTATTACTGGCAGAAATGTTTGTGTGCTTATCTAAATTGAGTGTTTGAAGAAAATTGAAACATTATTATTCCAAACATTGAGTTTACTCAGACATGTTTGCACACAGTGTTTGACAAAAGAAATTGCTATATTTTTCACACTGGTTATTAATTTGTAGTTTGTGTGTGAGTGCATGTTTCTAATGTTTGTGAAATTCTAAGGCTGTTAGTATTGATTTAGCCTTATTAAGAATAAGACACATCTGTTGAGAGATGGAAATGTGAAACCAGGGAGAAACGAATCCTCACATTTTGGAAAGACTCCTTGACTCTTTGTTATAACAAAACTTAAATCTTTTCCGAAGCGTTAAAATGCCTCATTCCTATACATGCTCATGTGTTATGTGCTGGGCACCTTAGCAGGTGCCATAAGCAGTATGCTTATGCATAGAAAATGTGAAATCCAGAAATGATCAATGTATCTGTTGAAAGGGGACCCACCCCCAACCTGTACATCTCTATTACAAGTGTAAAGATCAACCCATTCTTTATCCTCATCCTTTCGCCTCAGTGGCCACATGAGACTTCTGCTGGAATCCATTAATGCTCTTTAACCAACAAAAGAGGTCTCTATTAAGTGATGCAAGGCACCTCACCCCTATCAGTGTAGTGAGCAAGGAACTAGGGCCAACACTAAATGGGGAAGACCCTCAGCTGGTAGACATTGTCAGAGTTCCATTAATGTCTAGCTGAGGGTCTGCCCCAATAAATATAACCTGAGTTTTCTGAACTGCAATGAAAATAACTATTACTGAGCAGACCATGTCAGGCTAAAGTTCTAATTTTTAAGCATTACTAGTCCTCAATTTCTTTAAGATAAGGTACAGTGTTGAAAAGGTACTGGCACATAGTAGGCATAAGAATAAGATTTCCATATTTACTACTCTCCTAAAACACACACACACTGAAGGGACCCAATCCAATGAGAGCAGGACCTTTAGGGGCCCAAAAGAAATAAAGCTATAGCATTCTGAATCTTCCTGTTCCAACCAATATCACAGAAACAATGTTAAAAAGGCTAAAATAAAGTTTATGAAATGACTACAGCAATGAATGAGAAACACCTACAGGAAGTAGCGTATCATCCTCTTTGTCTTTGCACATTTTGCCTATTGAGCTGTCTTTGAGATTGGCTGCCTGCTCTGCAAATGAAATCTCTAAATTGATATCAGTTTCAGAAACTGGCACATCCTCAAGCAGGGTGGTCTTTTCACTGATACCAAGGTTGAACTCCGGATCTGAAAACAGAGGGGGGAAAAAAGTCATCAGCACTTTCAAATATTGCCTCTCTCCTCCTCTGGTTTGCATGAAAGTAAATATTTAGGACTCCAGACAGGTTAATCCTGTGCAGGGGGTGGAAACTCTTGGGGCAAAATCTCTGCTGGTGTAACTCCAATGACTGGAGTTATGTCAGCTGAGAATTTTCATCTCATGGAGTTGCCATGGAATAATTCTGCCAAGGGGCAGAGTTTACCCACTCCTTATCCCTCATGGAAAAGACAAAGCATTCTATCCCAAATAAACCAGAGATTCCTGGGATCTGCCAGAACCAAGCAGCTTCTGCTCAGAAGTTCCTTGCCTCAGATCTGCTTCCCATTCTCCTCTCTTCCTCTGGTGCCCTGCGACCATTAACTGCACAAGTCCTTCAGCAGCCAAGCTTCGCGGGGCAGTCCTGAACACCAGTTCTTTGTCCTGTAGGTCTGAAACTGGTGTGTGGGATGGGAGTGCAGGTGTGGGTGTGGGAATCCAATAAAGCATGACTGAGTCCTAACATTCTTATCCCCTTCCTATCATGTAGAGCCTGAAGCTCTCAAAGCCGCTACAGAGACGCTTCTGTGAGGAAGAGGTGAGCAGAGAAGAGTGGGAGCACGTAATGGTGGCACCACTTCTCTTTTCTTGTTGCCCTCAAGAAGGAACTGGGCACTGAACAAATGATTTAGAATAATAATTCTTTTTTTTGTTTTGTTTTTTAAATAGAGGCAGTTCTTTTACCATTTAACCTAGAAACATCCTGCTTTTATAGGTAATTACCAGGTGTTTTTCATTACCAATGTGTCACTAGTATCAGGAGACAAGAGAAGGGTACAAAGTGTTTTCAAGGGGAAAAAATAATTTTAAATATTCTATTCTGTAAAAGAAAAATTCCAGTCAATACACAAAACAATTTTATCTTATCACGAAGTTTCAAAGACAACCCAATCAGTCAAGGGCTCTGACTAGGTGAACTTTCTGACATCACCACCACCGTTGTTATTTGTAACCTGGTATCCCCGCAAAGCTCCCCATCGGGATTTTGGTCCCATTGTGTGAGGTTCTGTACAAGCACACTGGAAGACACCCTGGCTCCACTGACATCAAGGCAAAATTCTCAGTGACTTCAATGGGGCCAGGATGTCATCCTCTGGTCCCTGCCCCCAAAAGCTCACAATCTGTTTAAAGACAAGATGCTGCAAGTGAGTGTGAAAAACAATGGAATGGGAAGTGGGACGGAAGGATGAGGGAAACCATAATAAGAGCATGTGTTTGTACAGACTAGCTGTTGTGTAATGAAACACCCAACAGATGCTTTGTTTTCACCACTGTGGGAAATTTAGGGGTGCCAATTCTCAGATGTCTCAGATGTCTTAAGATAAGGTACAGTGTTGAAAAGGTACTGGCATACAGTAGGCATAAGAATAAGATTTCCATATTTACTACTCTCCTAAAACACACACACTCTGAATTTCTTACCCCAAAAGGGGCAAGCCATGGCCCCTAGGAAATAGCCTCATCCTGAGCAACTTCCCTATACTACTTCACTCTCACTGACCCTAGTGTAAGGGCTATGGTGGGGATAGGCTGGGTAAGGGAGAAGGTGCAAGTGAAATGCTGCTGCACTCCAGCTATTCTCTGCTCTCCCTGGCCCACTGAAGGGCTTAAGCAGTGCTGCTGTCTCCCAACACTGCAAACCCAAACGGTGTGGGAAAGAATAAGTCACAAAATAAAACGTTTCATTTTATTAAAAAAAATTGGCCCATACTGGTTTGAAACGTCTATATTTAAAGTAAAACTATTTGTGGAGTGCTTGGAGTTGAGACCATCCCATGCAAACTGCCCCAACCAGGGCCATACCCTTGGAGTTCTTCACACGGAAGGGCTGGCCTTAAGATCTTCAAGTTGTGAAACCAGCAGCATCAGTTTCAGAGTAAGCCATAATGTCTAGCACTCGGTTAGGACTTTAAGGTCCATTCAGCAGAGACAGAAGCAGCTCCAAAGAGAGGAACAGTTTTGATTGGGGGCAGTATGCTTTTATTCTACTTACAACTGAGTGTAAAGCTACGAGAAGTAGAATAAAAGAATTGTAAAATATACTTATATGACCAGTTTGTCTCTTCAGAGTAGCTTCAGCCTGAACTGTGTTAGAACCTCAAAGGCTTCACTGAGCAGATGTGAAGGCTCAAGCTGAAGCTGAAATTGGAGCTGCTGATTTCAGAAAAGCTATATAAAATGTCTTAGAATCGCAACACTTTTAGGGCCAAATTCAGCCCTGCATCAAGTCTACTGACTTCAGTTGGATTACACCACAGATATATTTGGCCCCAGTGTTTAATACATTAAACTGATTTTTTAAATGGTAAAAGGGGAAATAGGGTTCTTATTCCTCTATTATTATTTTTATCAGGATGTTGTGGTTATTGTGGCTTGTCTGATCCATGCATCTTTTGCCCCATATCAGCTTGGAACAGAACTGTTGCTAACAAAAAGTAATGCAGTAGTTCCTGTTTTAGCCCTCTGTTTAGAAGGAAGTTTTGGATTTGTTTTTTGTTTTGTTTTTGTTTTTTGGGTACTGATGGCTTTGTAATGATATACAAGCTTCAAAGACCTGTGGAAATGCTGCTGTTCTTATTTGGGGGTTTGATGTCTGTGCAGTCCTGATCCTACTGCTTTGTGTTTATTAACTAGGAAACAGCTGTAAGAGGAAGTAGATTTGCTGTGCTGTCAATTTGCCAGTTGTGGTCAAAGTTTCGTATGACAGAAAAGTGAGTGTGATACAAAAAAAAAAAAGTCAATACTGGATATTAAAGGGGACGTGCAAAAGGTGTGTTTTAAAACTGGGCCTGCATCGTCATTTTGCTTCCCTGTGATGTATACAGAAGGCTTGTGTTTAAAAAAAAATCATGGGAACATCAGAAAGGTTAAATCTGGTCTTTCCTGGAGAACATAGTGGATGTCCCAGAGGATGTATACTGTATACTCTGACTTATGTAACTGTTAGGTCTCACATTTTTATTGGCGGGGTGGAGTGGTTTAATCTTTAATTAACATGTTCTTCCTCAAAAATGCTAATTGGTCATTGAATTTATACACACAAACGAACAGACAGTTTTAGACTGTCATTGTTTCACTAGCTCTCCAAATAGAGAGTCTTTCGGGCAGCACAGTCATTTATTTCTAACATCTAAAAAAAGGCAGGAAGAAAAACTTTTGAAAAATGTTTCAGGCCTTATTTATATACCATAAAGAAGCAAATAAGGACACATCTCCATTTCGTCCTTTAAGTTACCTTTAAGGAGATTCAATTCTTCCTTCAGTTACAAGGGTACTACTGCCACTGACTTCAATGACTTATGTAACTGAGGCAGAAATAGACCTTGTTTTGGGTGATTTTTCTCTCAATTTGGAATAGGAAAACTACTACACGGAATGTTTGGAGCCTGATCCTGCTTCCATTGAAGACAATGGGAGTTTGGCCACAGTCTCCTATGGGAGCAGAACAGGCTCCAATACAGTAGACTATATTTATGAAAAGTTTGGGAAACAAATGTTGTACTAACGTGTGCATTAAGCTGAAACTAGCAAACAAACATCTCTCACATTTCCATCATTCCCCCTCTTCCACCTCAGTGCTGAAAGGGGGATTAGGGACTTTTAGGAATCACTAGGGCATTTTGTGGGCCTCCTTGCTCCTTCCTGGACAGATGCATGGGGCATTCTCCATTTAAGGAGAACCATTCTCTCCCACTCCCAACCATGCCTCATTCTTTCCTGACTGACATCCACATTCCTGGGGCCAGCCAGGAAGAGTTTATAAATGCTGCTGGCCTCAAGTGTCTCACAGTGGACATGTGTCACAGAGGGCTGAATCCCCCCTTACCCTGAGGCTAGGGCTGGTGCAGAGCCTGAGGGAGGTGCCTTGCATCGCCATGATTTTGGTGTCCTCAAAGCCAGTTTCACCCTCAAACCTGCCGTGAATTTCCCCCCAGTTTTAATGGTCTCTGTGAGCTTTAAAGAAGCCAGGAAATAGGAGTGGCACAGGAGCATGCCCCTCCCACCCCAATCCATGCCCCACCTCTTGCCTGCCCTGAAACACCTCCTGCCCCAGGGGCACCTGTGGAGTGGGGGTGGGGCATTCTTCACCTGGGAATATACCCTGGGGGGGCTGCTTTGTAGCCCCTTTGTGTTGACACAGCCAACACAGTGGGCTTGCAGGGCGACCATGAATGGGCCCAGAGGGAGCACACTATGACACTGGTCCACAGTCTGTGCTGTCTGCATATTAGTTTCCAACTGGAGTTGTTTTTGACCTATATAGGTTACATCCATGTATCATATCTACCCCCTATGTGCTAGCACTGCAATCATACTCAGAGGAGGTTCTCAGGCTAACAGTCCTCCAGTAAAGAAGGGCAGAAGCTGGTGATGGGACAGTGGCGGGAAAAGCGCTTGTAGGTTTCTTTTGGTTAAGTGATGGTAAAGGTCAAGCAAAGGAGTCAACTGATGTACACAAGGGATGTGGGAATTTGCGTAATCAGAAAACAAGAAAAAGACATGCCCAGCTTGCATAGGACCCAGTCTAACTCCCTTTAAAGCCAATAGATATGTCAGTGAGTGTTGGATCAGGCACGAGACACCCCAAGGCCATATTCCCAGAGGCTGTTTATGCCAATTTACACCAGCTGAGGATCTGGCCCCAATTCTGGAAATTTCAGAGTGTCTTTCAACTAAGCCCTTGTCCCTCCAGGTCTTAGATGAAAGTCCCTTAGCAACATCTGTTTTCTAACTGCCTGATCATTATGCTTTGGGGTTTACCCTTCTAAAAGCATCTTACTCAGCATGCTTACCCTGGAAGCTGGCCCTTTAATCTGGAAGAGACAACCAGCTGCAGCCCCACATTAGTCATTTTGTCTCTGGCTGTTGCTACTCTGAGTGGTGAGTTCTCCATTTTTTTTTTTCTTAGCATATCTTTTCCTGAGGAAGTAGCACATGTCTCACTATCCTTAACTCTTAACTGAGCTCCTTTACATGATCATCTAAAGAGCACTGCATCTATTTACCTTCAGGGCATGCTGTGATTTTTTGTTAGGGCTTTTGATAAAGGAGTGAGGGTTGGGGATGGTTAAATATGTGAGATTATTATAATTTCTGTTAGGCATAAAGCAGGTAGCCTGGTAAATGATGTTTGGCAGCTCAATGAGTGTCCTTTGGATTTTATTTTTGTTTGTTTTGTAGATATACACACAAAAGCCATGGAGATAGAGGTTTCAAGAAATCCAAATAAATGAACCTCCCCATGGATACTAAACATACTAGAACTAATTGACTAGATTGAACTGTCCCTCCTGGATTGGGCCAGTCAGGAAAAAACAAAAAATGTGAACAATGGGGACCCTTTCACATTATTTCCTGACATCTGTTCAACCAAGGAAGAGTTTAGGTTAGGGTAGAGGAAAAAAGGGAGTGGGAACAGGCTCAAGGAATCCGAGTTCACATGCTCCATGGAATTTTCAGTATAATTATGAATAGCAGCACTAGGCAGTGTGGCCTAGTGGACAGAGCATTGGACACAAGAGACCTCAGTTCTAGTCCCAGATCTGCTACTGGCCTGCTCGTGATCGTGTCTCATATTCCCTTCTATAAAATGGGGCTAGAGATCCTATGAACACCTCTGTAAAACACTTTGAGATCTGCTGATAAAAAGAGCAAGGTATTATATATTATCACCATCCTCAATTTGGCACTCTAGTCAAACGCTCTTGAGAAATGGACACTTCAGATACCTAACTAGGAGCAATCATCGCTTTCAGAATATGACAAACCATAGATTTCACATCCATTACCAAGTTTAAAAATGTGGGACGTAGAAAACAGAGGCATCACTATGATTTAAATTTCTAAAAAAAGTAAAAATCTATTATAACAAATGATACTAGTGCATTTTTCAGGTAAAACTGGTAAAAGCATTTTAACTTTACAATAATGCCTCTGGATTTAGATTTCATAGGTATTTGGTGTCTTTGAAACCCCAGACAATGTTTATTTATTGCCTTTAAAGCCAATCACTGTTTACATAACACCAATTAGCTCATTATTCTTGAAGAAAGGGATCATGGCACAGCCCTGAAACAGGTGCAGCAGTTTTTAATGCAGCTCAAGTTGGATGGCTTTCCTGCAAAAATGAACTGATTTTCTTCTTGTTCTAATCTCACAAACGGAGCCCACTTTGGCATGTTGGCAAAAGCAGAAGTGTATTAGGATGTAAGTAGGCTGCATTTGCCTGGCCCATCGCAATCTGTGCTGGGGAGAGCTAACATATGGAATTTGCCTTTCAGAACTTCCCATTTCTAAAGGGTTCATCGGGGCCACTGGAAAAATGCACCAGATGTGATAAAACACTGCAATAATTGCTTGGTAATTTTCCAGCCCCAAATTTTAGTGTAGTTTATTGACACAAGCACCAGGCTTCTCTTCCTTCCCTTGTGCTGACCCAGCATTTTGGCAGCTCTCCCAGTCGTTCACAGTTTTTACCAGCGAAAGGTTTGCTGAGAGCAGGAGAGGGTAAGATTAATAATGCTTCTGGAAACACAAGAATTGTGTGGGGCTCATTTCTACCTCTCCCTCTCTCTCTCTTTACATTGTTTATGTTTTGTTATTCATCTTTCCTGTATTTATCCCTCTGTTAGCTATTTCTCCAGAACACTTTGGATACACATTCTAAAATTTGGAGGTGGTTAATCAGTCTTCCTGTCTATGTATCTACAAAGCATCCAGCATAATATCTAGATCGGGGGTGGGCAAACTACAGCCCACGGGCCACATCCGGCCCATCAGGGCTTTGGATCCGGCCCACAGGATTGCCACCCCAGTGGCGGCGCGGGCCCTGCGCTGCTCCCAGAAGCGGCCGGCACCACATCCCTGTGGCCCCTGGTGTGGGGGGGCAAAGGACTCCATGCGCTGCCCTCGCCTCCAGGCACCGCCCCCCGCAGCTCCCATTGGCCGGGAACAGGAAACCGCGGCCAATGGGAGCTTTGGGAGAGGTACCCACAGGCAAGTGCAGCGCAAGGAGCCCTCTGCCTCCCTTCCCCCAGGGGCCACAGGGACGTGGTGCCGGCTGCTTCCGGGAGCAGCGCGGGGTCAGGGCAGGCAGGCAGGGAGCTCCAGGTAAGCAGCGCTGGGCCGGAGCTCGACCCCTTCTTCACCCCGCACCCCAACTCCTTGTCCTGTGCCCGCTGCTGCATCACTCACCCCTCCTGCACCCCAACCCCCTGCCCTGAGCCCCCTGCTGCAGCCCACACCCCTCCTGCACCCCAACCCCCTGCCCTGAGCCCCCTCCTGCATTCTGCACCCCTGCCCTGAGCCCGCTCCTGCACTCCGCACCCCTCCTCCACCCCAACCCCCTTCTCTGAGCCCCCTCATATACCCTGCAACCCTCCTCTGCCCCAACCCCTTGCCCTGAGCCCCTTCCTGCACACCACTCCCCCTCCCATGCCCCACACTCCCTCCCGCACCCCAACACCCTGCCCTGGCCCTGCATGCAATTTCCCCACCCAGATGTGGCCCTTGGACCAAAAAGTTTCCCCATCCCGATCTAGATGCTCTCCTTGTGTTTTTTTTAAAGGAAAGAGTAAGTCTCTAGAAAAATAATAGAAGTATTTAGGCCAAATTCAGGACTTCAGTGGCTGGAACTATGACTTGATTGTACCTTTATGGTCCAGGGTACTGCTGCAAGTGGTGAGCAGCTGCATAGCCCCAACAGGAGCTCCAGGAGACATAGGTGATGCAATCCAGCCACAACCCCTTACTACAGGGGGCTGGAGAGCTACTGTCAAGCACAAGGGGTGAAATCTGGATTCACTGAAATCAGTGGGAGTTTTGCCATTGATTTTCGGGAGGCCAAAATTTCATCAAAGGGCTGCAATTAGGCCCTGTCCCTGTGTGGGCTGGTCTTTATGCCCTCTCTCTGTACCTCACCCTGTTGTTCAACTGGACAGGGCAGGGCAGAACCTACCCCTAAAGGCAGAGAACTCCCCCTACTTTCTGTTTTCTCCATGAATATAGTCAACTAATTAAACACTGATATTTTCTCTCACTTTGAGCCCTAAATATATAGCAAATCCTTACATTTTTCTTAGTTCTTTTACTTTTGCTCTCTCCTCTTTACTGATGAGCTTATCCACAGCTCTTGTTTCTTGTGTTGAAAGTGCAAAAAAGAGAGACAACCAAAGGGATAAAAATGAAGAGCTAAGAATGAGCCATTAGAGTGGACCTTTATCAAACTGTTCTGCTGTAAAATCATCACAAGATTTACCAGACTTTTCAAAGGACACCATCCATAAATACATTTTAAAATGTTACAAACTTGGAAAGATGTGGGCCACAGCTACATTCACACAGTTTATCCAGTGGCTTTTTTTTCCTCTGAAATGTTACCAAAAACGTGGACCTGTTCTTCAGTATGCCGTGAAGCTAAGACACTACAGAACAGAAAAAAAGAGCAGAGAAGCTGCTCAGCATTACCATCTTTCACTTCATCTTGAGCTTCATTTTTAGTCTCTCTTGCTGTCACAGATGAGGGCTCACTCTCACCAGAGACCTAAAAAAGCAAAAAGAAACCAAGCCATCTCTAAGCTCAAATACCAATAGCTTATTACAGCAAATGACAGAATGTAAGTAACTCCTTTGGCCCTGATCTTGTGTGTGGGTAGACTTGCAACCCAGGAGAGCCCCTCTGAAGTCAATGGGACTCCATGGGGGTGCAGCAGTCCACCCATGGACTGTCAGTTATGGGACTGGGGTGTTTGATAGGAGCTCTTAATCACAGACATGGGACACAAGAAATTAAGTCCCTCAACCAAAAACACAATTAGACACAAACTTAGTTCTGATGTCACTACTGCTCCACCATAATATGCAAAATGAATGGGAAAGGCTAGAATTTGAATTAAAGCCACAGTCTGCACTGGCAGCGATGTAGAAGGGAGATTATATATATATATATATATATAATATAGGCACAGAACTGGGACTCAGGAGACCTGAGTTCAATTCCTGGCTCTGCCACTGGCCTGCTGTATGACCTTCAGCAAGTCACTTTAACCTCAAGGTGGCTCAGTTTCTTTATCTGTAAAAGAGGCATATGACGCTGACCTCCTTTGTAAAGTGCTTTGAGATGTACAGGTGAAAAGCACTATATAGAAATTAGTTATTATATTATTTCAGTGGGAGCTCCCAGGAGGAATTCTGATTGATTCAGCCCCAAAGTGCAAGCTGCAGCAGAAGCACTGTCACCCTGGTGCAGAATGTAGCATGCGCTCCCTCCTGTGATTTGATGGGTCCAGGACAGCTCTGGCCCTGCTGTCATCCCAGTCCTAGTGGGGGGGAGGCTAGCAATGTTAGCTGTGCATACTGTTTGCATTCCCAGCAACAGTATGGCTGGTCCATTCCACAAAGGGACAAGAGGGAGGGAGGACAAAGGCCATTTTTGCTCCCATAGTGAAGCCTTGCAGGGCCAACTACAATCCAGCCCTGAATTTGTAAACAAACTAGACTTCTGAAGTTCCATTGCTTGTTTATGTCCAAGATTATTATGGATACAGTATTCAGAATTTGCCAGGAAATCTTTATACTCATGGTCCATATAGTTTCTTATTTCCATATTAAAGTTTCATTAACTCCCTGCACAGCCCAGAATGTTAACTAGATGCTAAGTGATCTGGCTCTTGCCTGGCATTTTAGATAAGTGCTGTACAGCCCAAGAGTTGGGGAGAATAAGAGTGAAAAACTTTGCAAAACTTTGGTGAAAAAGCAAGTCAGGCTCATTTTGTTTTAAAATCCCAGATCCTGAAAGGCAAATCCTACTCCCACCTCTGTGGGTGCAGAGAGCGCCAAAACTACTGCTGTTCCACGGCCCTGGGGTGGGACGGAGCAGGAGGCGGGGGGCTTTTGAAGGGTATATGCAATCCCAGTGCACGAAGAGCCTAGGAGGACTCTCAGTGAAGTCACACAGCTGCTCTTTGAGGACATGGCAGGAAAGGATGTCATGGAAGGATCCATGACTCTAGCTTTTTTCCTGTCCTACCTCTTTACCGTTGGTAGAGGAGGGATACAGAAGATAGGCAGAAGCTGTATTAGGTTGGAGTATCAGCGGCAGAGTGGCTTCACTCCTGTTTTGTGACATGGAAGGGACAGTAGTAGGAAGATTTTTTTTTTTTTCCTATTTAGACCCTTCTGTTTGGTACATGCTGCAGGATTACAGGTACTTGTTTGTGCTGCATAATTTATGGCTTGAATACAAGAACTTGAATGTCCTTTTTCATGCTGAATTAACACAGTTAAGAGTGAAATGACACTGCTCTAAACTGCATTTTATCCCACCTCTGCAAAGTAACAGTGTAACAATGTATAACAGAAGAACACAACTTCACTTTTTGGTATAACCTGTTTCATACAAAATGGGCCCCAGAATGTTTTGCAGAATTAAGTGTCCCAAGTCCCATATTCCCCTCGCCATCCATATGCAGAGGGGAGCTTGATCTTGGTGAAGGGGAAGTTCTGTCTCTGCAGCATGTATCTTACAAACTTCCTCTGGAGAATTTTAGTTCCAGGGTGTTAGAAGGGATGAGTCAAGTGGTGGGGGGGGAAATCAACTGGTCTCAGTTTCTCCACCTCGCTGCCACCACTTGAAGTACAATGCTCAGGAACAAAAATGAGGGCAAGTGGCCACAAAGCAAATGTCAAGGAACAAGGCCTCCATGTGATGGCCCTGCGCCACCATCAGATCAGTGTCTTCTCCCAGCTGAAGACCTAGCTGCTGCTTTGGCGGGCTGGAGGGGAGAAGAGGTCAAACCCCAACCCTCTCAACAGAAAAATTACCAGGCAACTCCCTAAACTGAATCCAAGTTTCTTTTCCCATGTGTGGCTTACTCCTGTGTAGGGAAGAATAGCTCTTCCTTTTTATGTTTAATATTTGCTTTTGAAAACTCCACTCTGTGTGCTAAAAGTATTCAGCATTGACCTAACTTTGCTGCCACTGAAGTCAATGGGAGTTTTGCTATTGACTTTAGGGAGCAGAGTTAGGCCAGTACTGAACCCTTCTGAAAAGGCCAGCCAGTGTTTTAGCAGAGCAGAACAAAGTCAAACCACACTAAGGAGCTTACTTTTTCCTTTGAATCACTTTGTTGCCTGAAGATATCTCTGACGTCAGGAACCTGGTACGGCTTGTTTTTTTTCCTCAGGGTTTGTGAGACAGTCTCCACTCGCTTTTGTACTGCTGCTGTCTGAGTTCGCGTCAATGTGGACAGAAACACCATGCTGTCTAGGGAATCTCCTGTGCTCTCACCAAAAAGGTTTGACAGCCCAGCTTCCTTTAACCACTCTTCTTCCAATTCTCCCTCTGTGCCAGGAGAGAAGAGAAAAATCAAAGGACAGGAATGCTAGATTTTGAGTCTGAGCTCTGTAGCTGAGCACAGTGGGTTAAAGTCACACAGTGTAGTCTGTGTGAACCTACAGGAAAAGGTCCAGGAGGATCTGCAAGGGGAGAGCAATTCTTAGCATGGTCACACATTATATTAAGGGGACGCTTATGGTGTCTAAACAGTTAATAGGTGATTAACTGTAGATTATGATAGAGTCTGACAAGTCAACAGGTGGTTTATAACAGTCTATAGCACCTTCTGCGGAGGTGTTTATAACGATCTATCTCGTAACATGCTTATTAATTTTATGAATTAATCCTTCATAAGCCATTTACAAACATGACCCTTACTGCTCTTCACTGTTTCAACTTCTAACTAAGCAGTAAAGATCTGTTTCTTTGACAACTGTCCCTATTCCAGTGGAGGGGGTGGGTGGGAGGAAGCTTGAAAGCCTTTAATCAGCACCACTTTATTTATAGTTCAGTGCTCAATCTTTTTATACCATTAACTTAAATTTGTTTGCCTTGTTGTTTTTTTAGTACATTAATTCCTATAGTTTTTCACTAGTGTGATCTAGTTCAATTTGATCAGGGGTGATTCAATCTAATAGGCGATTTTAATGCAATTTTTAATTAATTATCTCTACTGATGCCGTCTCTAATCTATACTGGATATCCAGCAAGATGATGATCACTGCTTTGTTGTTTCTAGCTGATAATGTGTCTTTTATTGACCGTTCATTGCAGAAAGGCAGAAGGCATATGTTAATTATTGCAATTGACCAAGAGTGTAATATAACCTATACTCTTCAAACACATTTTTACATAATGGTGCTTGTTTAAAAATTGCTACCAAACCCTGTACTGATGTGGAGTGGATTGTACTGACCTTTGATGTTGCCCTCAAGTTTTTAAATGGTCATTAAGTATACAGAGCTGGTTTCTCATCTCAGTTAAGTCAATGGAGTAGCCCTGGATTGACATCAGTTTATCTGAGATATGAATCTGGCACATACTCTTCAATATTGTTATTCATTGTACCTAGTTTCTCTTAAACCCTGGTGAGCATCTTTGTATTCATGGACAAGTGAAAGAGTAGAGCTCTCACTGAACAGCGGTAGAGTCTGTTTTACGAATTTGTTACTGCACTGGGGCCATAGCCTGAACTTCTTACTCTGCCAAAACTCCCCATTGACTTGGAGTTTTCCCCAAGCAGGAAGTTCAGAATTTGGAGTAAGGACTAGAAACAAGGTATCTGTAGCATAGTTTGTTACCTTCTTCTGAAATCCCACCCTCAGGTAAAAGTGCCTAAGGGAGCTAGTATGAGCACGAGGCCCCCTGAAAGTCTATGAGACTTGTGCTCTTAACTCATTGATCATCATTGAAAATCCCATCCCAAAACTTTAATTTACTATTTTCCAGATTTGGGGGGGGGGGGGGGTTCCTAACAATTTTGTATCTTCAGGGGAAGCACACACCATACTGTTGAAAATAAATCCTTACTTTACATTTACATTACTTTTACATTCTGGTATTCAGGACTTTGGATCTTTATCGGAAAAGTTGGCGGTTGCCATATTGGATCAGTCCACCTCGTCCATAATCCTGTCTCCGACAGGAACTGGTACCTGATTTTTCACAGGAAGGTCTAAAACCCCCATCATAGATTATACCATGTCACAATTGTAGGAGTTGTTGCTTCTTAAACCCAGGCAGTCAGTGGTTGGCTTCTTTTCTGAAGCATGAGATTGTATGCCCATTATGCAATTTTATCTGACCTACTGTAATTACTAATTGTATTAACAAATCCTTTTCTTCTTAAATACAAGAATATAAAACTGTCTATAAAGCTTAAACTAGTATAATTTGAAAATAAAGAACATCTCGAAATACCTTTTAAGGAAAATAAAACTGGTATTTTATCTCCTCTGGCATAATGCTCTAAGGACAGATTTTTTTTTTTTTTTTTAAAGCAGCCACTAATTTTGGGTACCTCATTTTTTGGGTGTCCAATTTAAGGCACCCAAGGCCTGATTTGTAGAAGTGCTGGGTAGCTCCTATTGACTCATTTGGAGTTGTTAGGTCCTCAGCCCCTCTGAAAATAAATCCTAAGGTGTCTCAAAATCAGGGACCACTAAAATAATCGTTCACCAAAATGTTACCATCAGGCTCTTTCACCACAACCACTTCTTGCTCTCTATGATTATTTTTGCTGGTTTCATGGATGTTTTCAAGTTCTTTCCAATAGTCATCCATAGACAACTCATCCAAGGAATCCTGGGAACTTGAGCGGTCCATTTGTGGCCTCTCTGTGGACTTCTTAGAGTTGTCATGGTTCATTGTATACTGGCCAGATCTGCGGCTATAAGAATACACAAACAAATTAATCTTCAGTAAATAATTCAGAGTGCAAGATATAGTGATATCAATACAGATAGTATTAACTGACAAAGATATAAAAGCAAACTTAACACTGAAATGAACAAGAAGACACTAATTACACTTTGTCTGGTATGTTTTAAATTAACATCTTCACTATGCACATCTTCTAAATCTGGAAGCCCACTAGAGCATTTTCATGGAGGCCAAGTATTGGGGGGAGGGAGGAGAGAATGGATTCCAAGTTTACTGAAATTAATCTGAGTTTTATTAAAAGTTTCACTAGTTTTAACAATATCCCAAATTTAGCTCCACTGATGTTCAATAACAGGAGATGTTTTTCCAGTAACTAGCAATCATTTCTTCTCCAGCTCTGCTATGAATTACATCTCTGTCCATGAGTGTCTGCATATAAAGATAAACTTCTAAAATATGAGCAAATTCCCAAGCTGCTTGATAATTAAATGAGGACGTGCTTGGTATTCAAATTGTGGATAAGGCATTACCTATGCAGCTCCTACTGATGAAGATATTGACTACTTGTCCTCAATAACATTCAGAAGAGGCAAGGTTCATGGCCTAATACAATTGTTCTGGCTGAGAGGGAGGGGAGTTTTTACATTAATACATGTTGAAATTTATGAATAACCTAAAACATCAATTTTGCTACTGACAAAGTATACTAAGCCAGGTTTTCCCATCCAAAAAAAACATGCTAGTCATAGAATATTAGGGTTGGAAAAGACCTCAGGAGGTCATCTAGTCCAATCCCCTGCTCAAAGCAGGACCAACCCCAACTAAATCATGCCAGTGAGCCCCCTGTCGAGCCAGGCCTTAAACACCTCTAAGGATGGAGATTCCACCACCTCCCTAGGTAACCCATTCCAGTGCTTCACCACCCTCCTAGTGAAATAGTGTTTCCTAATATCCAACCTAGACCTCCCCCACTGCAACTTAAGACCAGTGCTGCTTGTTCTGTCATCTGCCACCACTGAGAACAGCCGAGATCCATCCTCTTTGGAACCCCACTTCAGGTAGTTGAAGTCTGCTATCAAATCCCCCCTCATTCTTCTCTTCTGCAGACTAAACAATCCCAGTTCCCTCAGCCTCTCCTCATAAGTCACGTGCCCCTGCTCCCTAATCATTTCCGTTGCCCTCCGCTGGACTCTCTCCAATTTGTCCACATCCCTTCTGTAGTGGGGGGGACCAAAACTGGACACAATACTCCAGGTGTGGCCTCACCAGTGCCAAATACAGGGGAATAATCACTTCCCTCGATCTGTTGGCAATGCTCTTACTAATACAGCCCAATATGCCATTGGCCTTCTTGGCAACAAGGGCACACTGCTGACTCATATCCAGCTTCTCGTCCACTGTAATCCCCAGGTCCTTTTCGGCAGAACTGCTGCTTAGCCAGTCGGTCCCCAGCCTGTAGCAGTGCATGGGATTCTTCCTTCCTAAGTGCAGGACTCTGCACTTGTTGTTGTTGAACCTCATCAGATTTCTTTTGGCCCAATCCTCCAATTCATCTAGGTCACTCTGGACCCTATCCCTACCCTCCAGCATATCTACCTCTCCCCCCAGCTTAGTGTCATCTGCAAACTTGCTGAGGGTGCAATCCATTCCATCATCCAGATCATTAATAAAGATGTTGAACAAAACCAGCCCCATGATACTGCTTGATACCGGCTGCCAACTAGACATTGAGCTGTTGATCACTACCCATTGAGCCTGATGATCTAGCCAGCTTTCTATCCACCTTATAGTCCATTCATCCAATCCATACTTCTTTAACATGCTGGCAAGAATACTGTGGGAGACCGCATCAAAAGCTTTGCTAAAGTCAAGATATATCACATCCACCACTTTCCCCATATCCACAGAGCCAGTTATCTCATCATAGAAGGCAATCAGGTTGGTCACCATGACTTGCCCTTGGTGAATCCATGTTGAATATTCCTGATCACCTTTCTCTCCTCCAAGTGCTTCAAAATGGTTTCCTTGAGAACCTGCTCCATGATTTTGCCGGGGACTGAAGTGAGGCTGACCGGTCTGTAGTTCCCTGGGTTCTCTTTCTTCCCTTTTTTAAAGATGGACACTATAGTAGTCTTTTCCAATCATCCGGGTCCTCCCCCCGATTGCCATGAATTTTCAAAGATAATGGCCAATGGCTCTGCAATCACATCAGCCAACTCCCTCAGCACCCTTGGATGCATTAGATCTGGACCCATAGACTTGTGCATGTCCAGCTTTTCTAAGTAGTCCGTAACCTGTTCTTTCACCACTAAGGGCTGCTCACCACCTCCCCATATTGTGTTGCCCAGTGAAGCAGTCTCGGAGCTGACCTTGTCTGTGAAGACAGAGGCAAAAAAAGCATTGAGTACTTCAGCTTTTTTCACATCACCTGTCACTAGATTGCCTCCCCCATTCAGTAAGGGTCCCACACTTTCCCTGACCATCTTCTTGTTGCTAACATACCTGTAGAAATCCTTCTTGTTACCCTTCACATCCCTCGCTAGCTGCAATTCCAATTGTGCCTTGGCCTTCCTGATTACACCCCTGCATGCTCTAGCAATATTTTTATACTCCTCCCTTGTCATCTGTCCAAATTTCCACTTCTTTTAAGCTTCCTTTTTGAGTTTAAGCTTACCGAAGATTTCACTGTTAAGCCAAGCTGGTTGCCTGCCATATTTGCTATTCTTTCTGCACATTGGGATGGCTTGTTCCTGCGTCCTCAATAAGGCTTCTTTAAAATATAGCCAGCTCTCCTGGACTCCTTTCCCCCTCATATTAACCTCCCAGGGGATCCTGCCCATCAGTTCCCTAAGGGAGTCTAAGTCTGCTTTTCTGAAGTCCAGGGTCTTTATTTTGCTACTCTCCTTTCTTCCTTTTGTGAGGATCCTGAACTCAACCATCTCATGGTCACTGCTGCCTAGATTGCCACCCACTTCTACTTCCCCTACCAATTCTTCCCTGTTTGTAAGCAGCAGGTCAAGAGGAGCACGGCTCCTAGTTGGTTCCTCCAGCACTTGTATCAGGAAGTTGTCCCCAACACTCTCCAAAAACTTCCTGGGTTGTCTGTGCATTGCTGTATTGCTCTCCCAGCAGATGTCAGGGTGATTGAAATACCCCATTAGAACCAGGGCCTGTGATCTGGAAACTTCAGTTAGTTGTCTGCCATACTGAACAGTTATTTCCATAAACATAGTGCTTCCTTTGAACTGGACCCTGAGCGACCAATCACAGAGGAAAGATGGACTGGTAATTAGTGCGCTAGTCTAGGACTTTGGAGATCTGGGCTCAAGCCTCTGCTCTGCCACAGACTTAGTGTGACCTTGCAGTGTTAGCTTGTGGCATAACTTGAATATTGCCTCTAACCGGACTCTCCTCTGCACACACAAATCACTAGCTCAAGTTAAATGGCTTTTTAAACTGTGAGCGAGCTGGCCCATCAGTGGATGTGGGTTAAACTGCGAGTGCTGCTGATGCTGGAGCTAGCAATGAAGTGGGGACTTGGCTACACTATGCCACTATTCCAATCACTGTGGGCAGCCCGAGTGGCGTTTTGCAGTGTGGTTACTCACACTCGAACTAGCCTAACTCAAGAGGAGTTAACCAGTGTAGATAATTCGAGCTAACGCTGCAGTGAGGATGAGTCCACTGTCTCTCTGTGCCCCGGTTATCTGCCTGTAAAATTGGGATAACAGTACTTTCCTACCTCAGTGTTGAGGATAAACACATTAAAGATTGTGAGGTGCTTAGAAACTATGGGCTTGCCAAACACCAGCTTGCCATGCAGTAACATCCTATGTGGACATTTTCAAATAGTGCCAAGCCACACTCTGGGACTTCCTGTGAGCGCTAACAGCGTCCACATGGACTTTGCTGCACAGCAACCTGGTGCGCTGTAGATTCACACCCTGGCTTGCTGCACAGTAACCTGCAGTGTTGACAAGCCCTAAAATGGACAGAATCAAGTTATTTTATAAATATATCCCATTCTGACAGTGTATCGTGGGGGGAGAGGTTATACAAGACACGCTGCTCGTTTTGAAGACTGGGTTTCTCTGTCACAAAGCAACATCTGTTTCTCCATAAAAACGTTCGAGTAGTAAAATTTCTGCTATTATATAAAACTAAATTTTTGGCTTAAGGACTGGCTGAAAATAACTGCTACAAATCACTAAATTTCTGTTGTTTATCTCCTCAAAACATGAAGTTTGCTTAGTGAATTATATGAGTAATGTGTTCATTCTGACTGGCTGCAGCTGAGTTCAGTGGGAAGTACTGTTTGCCTCTAATGAACCAGCTAGATAGCATCTGGATATGTAAATCTCTGCTTTCTGATTGCATTAAGAGATGAGTATGAACTTTATCTCCCATATGTAAATTTAAATTAAAAAAAAAAAATCAAAAGCATCACTACTATTTTTTTTCATTGCCTTAATGGGAGAAATATCCAGATATTTCCAACTAAGACATTCAGAATGAATGTAACAGCCAAATCACTTTATGCTGTAATGAAGCCAGATCTTCAAAGATAAAATAGGAACATGCTGGGTCAGTTCTTGAATGGGATATCTCCAAGGGTTTGTGGAAAGTTGAGGACTTGATACAGTAGATAGAAATTTCCCCCTGATTCTGTTCTGGGCTGTCTATATTGAATTTCATCTGCCATCATAATGTTCACTCAGCTAGCTTTGTTAGGTCCCTCTTAACTTCCTTGCAGGCTTCTCTATGGGTGACCTAAATAATTTCATCTGCAAATTTTACCACTGCTGTTGTCCTCATTTTCCAGATAAGTAATACGTGTTAAATAATACAGTCTTAGTACGATTCCTTGGGATACCCTACCATTAACCTCCTTCCATGTTGAAAATTGACAATATATTCCTACCCTGTTTTCCATCTGTTCACAAGTTTCTAGTCAAGACAAAAGTTTGCCTCTCACTGGATGACTGCTTTCTTAATAGGTTTTTTTAA